ATGCTCATCACCAAATACCACCTGAATCTTCCACACAAATGACATTGAACATTGGCACTGAAACGGGACTGAACCCCCCACCACTTCATGCCATGAACCAGAAAGGAAAACCGGTTCTGAAAACTTGGTGAGGCACACACACTTGCGCAAGACAGTAGGTGTTCCTGTCAAACCCATGGGCGAACAAGATCGACTTGGTCTTGTATGCTGAAGGCTCAAAACCAGGACTGGGATCTTAGTCTTCATCATCACAATCGGCGTGAACGTGAGAAAACCTGAATCAGCAAGCATCAGTAGCATCAGCAAGCAAAGGTTCTGGCAGTTTATAAAATCTTCTAAAGCAAAGCCACTCCGAAAATCTATGAACATCTTCTAAAGCTCCACCCCTTTGGGCATGCGTTGGGCAAATTAGCCTGCAAGTAGAATAAGTCAGGACGTGCGGAAACAATGCGACAAAGCCCTTAGGTTTCCTCTGCCCCCAATGCCTGTCAGCACCAAATCTGGTTTCCATTCCACCAGCAGCTGGTACAGAAGACCCAAATCCTCAGCCATTCAATCAAAGAGCTGAACCAGCAAAAGCACAGCTGAAGAGAAGGCCTTCTTCATGCGGGCTTTCCAGGCTTTCCAAGCTTGTGTGTTTGGTAAGAATAGCACAGGGTTGATGCAGCAAAAAGTGTTCATCAAAATGGCAAGTCTCTCTTGCTCTGGTTTCAGGTGTGACAAGCTCGTCCCTGATACGATCTTGCGCCGTCATCATGCCTTGCATGTCGTTCACAGCGAACGCCTTCTGCATTTCTGGGTCGGCCACTAGTTTCCCAGTACTGAGGCGGCTTCGAGTAAAAGGCACCTGGATCAGAAACAAAAGACACTCAATCATCATAACTCGTCTTTATGCTAGATCTCACGCGCACGTGTTGACCGTTGACCCCCTAGCGTAGCCTATTTCAACTAGTCTAGCCTATTTCAATTCCAAATGTGTGACTGCATATGCTATTGGCGAACGTCGGGACCTGAAAGTGCTTGGCAAGAGCATCTGCATCACCCGGGCCCGATGTCATCACATTATAGCCAGCCATGATGAGAGCTTTCGCAGCGACCATGTATGGCTGAACGTCGCCGCGCGAGCCATCAAACACCTCGGAGAAGATGCAAGTTTAGCTCTACATAGCTCACACTGAAATGGCAGGTACACCTGCTAGTAGGATACACCACACAGTGCCATCCTACAGTATGGCAGGTATGGCAAGTGCCTCCTGCCTCCCTGTCCTGGTCCTGGTCCTTTGCACTATCCTACTGACTTGACAAGCCAGCACCTTCCCCAAGCCAACCTTGCTAAGCCAGGCACGACCAAGATGCGCTTCGCCATAGCTTCAGAACTGGGCTCTTCAAACCGCCAGAAATGGACGCCAAACACTTCGAGCCAAACTTCGGAGACATAATAAGACATACCAGGAGCATCCTGGACATGGGTGTCCTGGACTACCCTACCCTACTTATAGGCCAGACAAGGCACCCATTGGAAGTGCTAGGTATACACAAAGATACATTGTAACATATTGTAACAATGGTGCTGAAACATGTGGCAGTGATTGGCAGTGGGTCATGGCACACCCTGTAGTTCACCACTGGAAACAGGTGACCCTAGCAGGGCGAGGTCTTGACCCACTGCCATGTCAATTGATGCATCTATCTTTTGGAACCCCCACTTGTGGCAACAAGCTGGATGAAACAAGTGACAGTGATAGAGCATATGATACAGCAATTGAACTGATAAAGCACGTTCAACTGTCTATGTGCGTTTCACCACACTGGCACACCATGAATAATTCAAACAACAATCTCCATGTCCATGAGTCCTAAAATCTTCTCCGCAGTTGAGCCTTACTGCAGGTGAATGGGCAGCCAAAGCCAGGTCCACCAAATCATCCTGCTTGGAGGCAACGCAAGGGAACCTCTTTGGTAGTCCTCCTGGGGATTCACCCATAGAGAAAATACATCACCCTAGTCAAGCATAAGATTGTAAAGTAGGAACCCATGTGTTGTAAGATGGAGCTGGAGCAATCACAATCTTCCCAAAACGTCAGCCTGAGATCACTCGGTTGACTGTTCATTATGGGAGGCATTTCAATTGGAACCTCGCGACAACTGTTCTTCTCTGTAAAAACCTGGGCTATTTACGTCATTTGACATCTACATCTCTACAAAGAAGAAACACCTACATCTCTCGGCACAGCTGTGTCAGCCGTGGGGTAAAACTTGGAATCAACAAGAACCTCTTCCCAGGTTCAAGCAGAAGGGGATGGGACCATCAAAAACGACTTCCAATCAGTAAAACCCGGGTCGAAAATGAACCACACCAGGCAGCCGTGCAGGATATCCGCTGGGCCCGTTCCCAAGCAAAGCTAGTCATGCCTGGACCATCGTGTGAAGCGTTTAGGTGGAAGCCACCACGCATGCACACACCATTTCGACGGACAATTGTAGCTTGACCAAATAACTATATAATTCGTGACGTACATATGTACGTACATACACCCTGAATCAACCTGAGATAGTGATTACTACATCAGGTCCTGTTGCAGGACTCTGGACTTCTTGAGTAGCAGTTGGTAGCATTCTATGATATTCTAGGCGCCAAATGTGAGGAGAGTGGCGTTTCCCAGCAAACGGGCGACTAAGGGAGTGAAGCTAAAAAAAACACAAGGCTGGCTGGTCTTCAAGAACTCACCTGGAACTTCACCTGGATACCAGTCTTTCAAGTCGGGTGCGGGAAGACGTCCCTCTTCGTGCACTCAAAAGGGTCCAACCTTTCTGGAAGACGTGTCCCTCCTTCGGACCGGACGGCTCGTCCGCGGACCGGGGTCGCTCCTGGACGGGTCGGGCGCGGAGGCTGCGGGGTCCAGGCGGGACGCCGCGTCGAGCGAGGCGGGACGGGCACTGGACCTCGGTGCCGCCCGGTGGAGCGGAAGGGAACCATCGGGATGGAACGTGGAGGAGCTCAGAGGAGAGGAACACGAAGGTGGAGAGGAACGCGTGAACAGATCCACTTCATCCGGAGGGTGAAATCCGTGACGATGGGCTCTGATGGACCAACGAACCGGGAACGGAGCGTAGCTGCAGTGCCTGTTCCCGTGCGGTCTGCGAGGGCACCGCCCTTGCAGTTGTGGTTCCTCATGACAGGTCTCCTCCGTGAGCACACCCTGCACCTGCCCCAAACACGCACTCCGGTTTCCAACACCACACAAGGAAAAGTCCAACAAAGAGTATCAAAGAGTATGAAGTGTAAAACACATGAAAAACCATGAAAAACCCAACTAGAGTATGATGAAGTGGCTGCTATCCGTTCCCCCATCTTTTTCTCAGACGGTCCATGTCTATCGTGAAGGGAACTGGTCGCTTGAAGCCACTTCGCTGCTGAACAGTTATGCTGACCTCCTGAGCCGTTTCCCTGGAAAATAACGGTGAACCGAACTGTCTACCGGTTCTTGTCTGGTGGGTTGCTGCTGACTGGGTATGTAAAGGTGGGCGAACACTGCGCCGCAAACACACCAATTCATCTAAAAACAACGGGAGCCTCTTTTGACCGCTGGCTCCAGACAATCTTGACTTGTGTCCAAGTCAAACTGTGGCTTGGCCTCCACACTCGAAGAACAACAACAGCACAAGCGAGCCGCAGTGCCTGCAGCAAATGAAACGTCACAATTCCCAAAACACACACGAAAAATGCAACACTGAGCGGGTGCCCCCTACAAGTATCACGATGCAAAATGGCCATCAGGCAAGTTCAACCAACAAGTTTGCAATCGTGGCACAATCCGCATGCCAACCCCAACATGGCATGCTCAGGGTCTGAAACTAGTCCCCATTGCCGACCGACAGTGAGAGGAATATGCCGCAAGATAAACCAAACGTGAATGGGTGAGCTACACATGCATCACTTGCATAAGTGTATCACACTTACATGGGTGAAATTGAGTGAAACATATTGCACGGCGTTGCGCAAAGCATAGAATTGTGGGACATCCTCCATCTCAGACTGCACTGGATGATGTTCTGCAACGACAAAGCCCTTCAAGTCACCATAGGCCATAGGCACTTTGCCCATGTCCAAGATTTGCACTACTGAAACCTTCACTTCCTAAAAGAATCCCGGTTCGTTCCCGAATGCCACCACTGCAATTGCGAGCGAGAAAACGGGGCTCCAAAACGGGCGGCCCCCCGTCGGCTTCGGGGTGGCGCTCCCAAAACAAGACCCCGAACGCAGAAACAACAAGTATTGACCCCCAACATAGATAGTCAAAAGGGATTACAGATTCTGACTTATTACGACTTCAACGCATGTATTGGACATCGTCCTCTCTCTCTCTCGACTCGCATTGGTGACCTCAAACGGATTCAACACCGCATTTGCCCCAAAGTTCGGGGCTTGGCCCCCCAAATCCACCCGAAATGACTCCTCTGAGCTGGCTTGTTTGCCTGCTTGGTCTCCTTTAATGTGTATGTATGTATAGACCCCCCCAATTTTGGATGATATGATGCAACCATATACTACCTCTCGCGCCAGATCTCGCGCCTGACATATTGCCGACGCACAGGTCGTAACATAACAACAGGACAACAGGCACACAGGCCAAAACCTAGAAATCGCAGACCGGAATCTGATACAACCATATACAATCTCTTCGTATGGGTGGTTGAAACATCATCAACCTCTCATGATATACTCTTTCCCCCCCCAGTCTTCGTCTCCTCCACTATGGGCGGAGCATCCCCTTCCGCCTGGCAGGAGATCACCATGCACGGCCTCACGTTCTCTTCGCCTTAGGCTTTGACGACCGTTCGACGGTCGCCCCGAACCGAGACGAGTGGAGCGAGCCACCAAGCAGCGAGCCACGAAGCAAGCTGGGAGGCCCAGACCGTCAGTTCCGCCCGAAATGCTCCGAACGTAGCGGTCCGATCGTTCCGCTTCGTTGGTTGTTTGGGCCAGGAGCCCCGAGTGGGTTCTTTGGCGTCCGCATCGTTCAGTTCGATGCCCCATCCTATCAGTTCCCACAAAGGCGTTCAACGCTCGGTGCTTGCGTCGTCAATGCCGGTGGCGTTGTTGCTCATCTACTCCAGTGGACCTTCTGAAAAGAGGCAGTGTGTTGGCTTCTAGACATCCCTCATCCCTCCCATCTTTCGCATGATGTAGTTTGTCATAATTGTCCATTGTCATTGATTGTTGTGGAACATGTGTGTCATATGTGTGTAAACCTCGCATTCCCTAGACCCCTAGACCAGCCAAAAGGTGGGCACATAAAACCGCTGTTCGACCATTGCATGGGTTCTGAACAAACCCCAGGGCATCTTTGCCCATCGTCGGTCCATGATCACCTACGGCCATGACACGTCTCCATACTAGCTAACAACATGTCTTAGGTCCATGGTCTGCTAGACAGAGCCACCCGGTGATTTTATGAGGCTATCGTCTTCCAGTTGGACATGTTCAACTTATAATGTCTTATATAATAACTTTTGTTTTGTTTTCCTCTGTGAGGGGTGAGACTTTTTCCGTGAACCACTCCCCCAAAGCGGCAAACCGAAGATTTCAACTGCGTTCGCCGGTGCTCCCAAACCCCACAAATCACCAACAGGAACGCTGACCACTCAGGCTGGATGTCAGCCAGTCCATAACTTCGTTTCTCAAGGATGCATCCCACTTCGTGAGCAGAACCGGTGTTGCTTTGAGTTGCTTTCGATGTCCAGCTCTGGTCACTCCTTTGACCAGAACGACTCCAAAACATGCATGACATCCATCCCTACCAAGTGACCGTGACCTTCCAAGAACTGCAAGAGTGCCAAAGCCTTCAGCTTGCGCCTGTGGGGCGTGAGTTGTTCCGAAGGAGTTCCAAGTGATGCCTTGTTTGGGTGGTATCCTCCACTGGTTTGTTCTTCAAGGGTGACGCCGCTGACCCTTCCACATTGTTCAGTGGGTGTTTTAACCAAACTTGGCACACGATAATATTGCAAATGCATGTGGATGAATGTGGTAGTATATTGAATTGAATGAATGGTGTCCAATATACGTATCAATACATATCCTATGCACACACTTCCCACTGATTCACTGGGGATTCGCTGGGTGATTCACGGCGAAAAAGACCTGCACAAACTGCGGTGTCGCAGTCCACCACCGGCTAAACGTGGCAACATCATGCCCGTTCTTTGACACTCACCATCCTCCGAATTTCTGAATGCTGAACTGATCTGGAAGGACATGGACATGCAGTAGCCAATTGGGCAGCCAAAAAGTGAGACAGTCCCAAAAAGGTAAGAACTCAACATACTCAACATTCTCAAGTATGAGAGTCACTATGTTATTGTGCAAATCATTTCCGTTGGTTTCCGAGTTGTTTTGGTTGCGTTCAGTCTCATCAAGAAATTACTTCAACCCCCACCACCACTCCCAGTCTAAACTAATATGATTCTGCAATTTGTCCGGAAGAATCTTAAAAAATACTTCCACCTGCTAAATACTATTAAATTGGCATGGTACATGAAGCAAATGTCCGTCGTCATATTATGTAGGCGTAGGTAGTGGCACAGGCCGGTTAGCATGGGATGAAGGCCAAGCACCCCTGGGTCGACTGACTGTGAATGGATTTCTCACTTTGATGAGTCTGAGTGAGGAAGGGCTCAAGTACATCAACCGCAGACTTTATTGGGGTTTACGGTTTATGCCGGCCCAACATCAAGCCACATCGGGTCCAGCACCAGGGCCATTTTCCCATCTCCACCCCATAATTCCCGACTCAAGAAAGACTCACCCCTTCTTCCCATCCCATCCCATGTCCACCTGTTTTGATCAAGTGGGGGTTCCAACTTCCTTCCATGGTCCGCACGGCGTCCGCCCCTCGCCTGTCTGGACCAGCTCCTCTCCAAGCCGCCCTTGCCCTCCAAACACCGCAGCATCGCCGGTCAAACCTCCACCGCTCACAGCTCCGCCCTGAGGGTCGAATGGCGCCCCGGCCAGGACGGCGGCGAGGGCGCGGTACGCTCCGGGTGTCAAGCTAGAACATGGGTAAGAACCCTTACCCTAAGCTGAAGGTGGAAGAGATGAAAGCTATAGGAATGAGTAATCGTGCTGTCTCACTGCTATGAAAGCTTCCTAACCCTAACATCCATGAATTTGCATCCGGGACGTATTCTGGGCCGATAGGATACTAGGCCCTAGGCCTGCAACAACTCCACCCCAAAACCCTGGGGTTCAACTCTTTAACCTCGCTCTTCAATGAAAAAGATCGATCGCCTCAGAGGTCTCTCGCCCTCGAAACCCAAGCGCCCGAGGACTCGGCTCATCGGACACGACCGCGTCGACGTTCCTCGCGTTGCGATCCTTCGACCGGTCAAGGGGTGGTCAGTGTTCCCTGCGGAGCCCACCAGGCCGGGCATATGACTTGCCTCAAAATAGGTTCATGACTTGGAAGAAACAAAGTCGTAGAAAGTCAACCACCAGAGGCCTTCGGGTGTACACACGTGGCACTATATGTGGCACTTTATATGTGGCACTATATGTGGCCCACATATTTACATGGTGCTTAATGGAGTGCAATGCACTTCTGGCGATTCTTTTCCACTTCCCACCGCAGAGAAGTGGGGCTGGTCCCAGCTTCTGCCCTGAACTGATGAAGAGATGAACCCAAGAACCCCTGAAACTGATGAGCTTCATCTGCTCCATCAGGCAGGTTGTGGGGCGTCCACATCTGGGCCACCCAGCATGGAGCATGGAGCGATGCTCAGCGAATACCTGGCGCGCCAGCGGGAAGCTTTCAAAACACATGGCACGCAAGCGGGAACGGCCATCGCCTCGTGGGTTTTTATTATCAAACAGATCAGGAGACCAGCTAGGATAAAAGGATGAGAATCAAAGCAACAGGGCTCAACAGGGCTCAACAGGACGCCATGTGTTGAAGGAAACATCAATCACCACCCCTGTGCAGGGGGGACCTCTCCTAAGGTGTAACTTACATTTTGAGGGTTAAGGGGGGGTGTGATGAAACATAGACTTACAAAAAGCAGCATGTCTTGAAACCGAATGACACCGATGACGAGCCACCCAGGTTTCGTCCAAAATCCCGGCTTTCCATGCAAGTCTCGATGAGATGCAGGCCCGCTTGGCCGACTCTTGCGAGCAATAGATGTCAGCCCAGCACTGCCACCCACGACTTTCATACCTGTTTCTTTGAACTAGCAAGGGGGTTGGGGCATACTGTATGTACCTTATTTTTTCAACTAGCAATGGGGGTTGGGGAACTTCCTCTAGCTCTGAACAGCTCCCCGCTTTTTGTGGGGAATATGGATACCTGCAAACGCGAACGCTCCGGAGCAGCGATAGTGAATAAGTCAGGAAACCTGACCAGATCCCACCCTAATGATCTCCAGCCCTCCGATTCCACCGAGCTCTGTTTTCCTTCAATCGTGGACATCTCTGCCCTGTGCCACCGCGGCAGCTGTGGCTGTGCAGGCCGATCAGGCCGGCGGTTGAAGCAAATCCCTAATATTTTTTTCATTACCGGGCTTACCGCCCAACACGTGACACACACACACACACACAAACAGCTCCAACAGCAGTGGCAAACTGAAAGAAGCCATTGGCAGGGATCCCCTTGCAAGGCGTCCAAGTTGAAGGAGCTTGAGCTTTGCAAAAGCATTGGCATTTGTCGCCTGCGACATGAATTGTGCGATTAGATACATGCGAGGGAGATAGCCCCCTGGAAACCCTCTGTAGGCTAAAGCAACCACTTGTGCCGACCTGATTTCGATGTGGTCATAGTTGGTCCAATACGCTTCTCATGTTGTTGATAGACCCATCGTGGGATTTGGCGATTCGTCGGTAAACTATTTCATCCCGGACCTGGCAGACTGAGATATTGATTGCTTCATTGCTAATTGCTACAGGCGTGACGCGACCAGCGACGAATACGGCAAATTACGGCTGCCCGCATCTTCAAATTGGCTTAGACTCTCTTTAATTACACAGCAGCTGAACTCCTGCAACCTTTTGCCAATCTATACACGACTTGACTAGGATGAACGACATACCATGTCATTGCCATGGGCCCTCGATCTCGGGCGACCAGTCGGTCCGGCGCTCTTGCTCTCGCCGAAAATCTGCACAGCTGCGGCTGCACTTTTCCCCATGTGTTGCACACGGGGACGATGAACATCCAGAGCGGCTGCACTTCGTGGACGGTGTCATGGAGGCTGTCTATGTGGGTAGTGGAGTGGGAGCTGTGAAGTATCTATGAGACCATCCAGGTCACACTTCTCCACCTGCCCAAGATTTCTGAGGCCGCCGTACAGACCAAATTCACTAAAACTGAAACAATACGAACAATAAGTTGAAATTAAATACTTCAACAAGTTGAAGTTAGATGATGTTAGATGTTTTTCTTCGAGTTTGGATGATTCTGTGCATGTTTCGTCCTCAAACGCAGCTGCGAACCCGCTCCAAGAGTTCTTGCTTTTTCCCCGTGTTCTGCACCCCGTGGCTCTTCAGCCAATCCCTCAGCTGTGGCACTGTGAGTCGCTCCGCGTCACCTCGCGGAAGGCGACGGATAGACTCATTGGACCAGGCTTTGATGTCTGGGCTCAAGATGGCTCGAGTGTTGGAGGAGTCTTTTTCTCGTGGTGGAGGTGGCAATGAACTATGAACAAAGCATCACAAGAAGACCAAAGGACTCTTTGGTCCTGCATTATGTGCCAACTTTGTTGCTAATCCTCATCTTCAGTCTTCCATCCCCTCTGGCACGCTGCTCAGGGCAGTGGATCTTTGTTCTCAGCTTCTCTCTCGGGTGTCTCTCTCCATTACCTATGTAGGAGCTCCCCCCCCAAAAGAAACTAGACAAACAAAAACGTTCTTGATAGGGATCATGCGCCCACAAAAAGGTGGCCACGCCACCAGGCGGTCACGCGCGCCTGAATGCAGCAATGCCCGCATTGCCTCCTTCCCCTCTGGCACAGCTGGGGCCTGTCGGTCCGGGAAGTGAGAGCTTTGAAGCTGGTTGGCTGGTTGACCTGGTTGGCTGGTGTGTGGCATTCTTGGTAAAACAATATAAAACCATGGTTCTTAGACTCTTGATGAACAACCCCCCCATCCGAAAAGGCGCTATATACAATTTAAATGGGGAGGGGGGGTATTAATCAACAGTCTACACTATGGTCTTGCACCTCCTTCTTTGAACGTCACGACTTCAACTAGTCCAATAAGTTTTGAGCAGTCGGTCCAACAAGCTCCTTTGCACTGCGCAGTTGCCGAAAACTGCCGTTTGAGATGGGTTGAACATGCCTCCCGTGCATCTTTCTTAACACCTCCCCTGCAAACCCAAGATTTTTGGAGCCAAACAGGGGAAAACAGGGAAAGGATGTGAGACGGGTTCAACCACCACTATAGGGATCTCCATTGGAGACCCACACCAGATGGTCCAGGAACCTACTTGTGAGTAGTGTTTGTCACCGCAAGTCTTCCAGTCGTTTGTCACAGCAACTCCCTTTAACTGCAGGGTATGCATCCTGTACACCTACTTCGGCTCATGGAAGGAACACGTGTTTTCCACTATGACAAGCCAATGGAGACAAACACATGTGGGAGCGCTGGGGAAAAAACATCCCCCCTGACTTGCGAATTCAAAGGCTGGAATTCGGAAGCTCCCTTCGGGAAAACCCCGAAAACCGCAATACGGACGGTGCATTCGAACGGTGCATTCGGACATTCACCCCTCTGTTTAATCTGCATGATTCTGGTGACGCATGGCCGCCACCATTGGCCGTTCGACTTCGTTCAACCGAAGGTGTGAAGAAAAAACGTCTGCATGATTCAGGGCATCTTTCCTTTCGGGGCTATGCCATCCTATGCCATTGTTCATCGGAGTGAATAAAGATAGCCTGCCACTCCGCTCCCTCCGTCCACACTGGTTCCTTTCGCGAACCCATGCCGAGCACGCATGAAAACACACATGCCAAGATCATCATGCCATCCCTTTCATACAAGGTTTCACATGGGTTTCACACCTCTAAATTCACCTTTCCACTCATGGTCACGGATGAACCCGACTCATGATGTCATGTTTTGTCCCGTCGTCCACGTTCTGTACCGCCTCCATCCTGCTCGTACTGTACCGCCTCCGCCGAAGTCCGCCCGCCCGGCCGCCTCAGACTTCTTGGCGAACTTCGCCCGGCCGCCTCCATCGCCCTCGAAGGATCGCTTCGGCGCACAGCCACTGACCGCCTCCGGGGGGAGAGGTGAGGTGAGCTGGTGAGCTGAGCTGGTCCACTCCAACTGACCTCATTCCCTAAGGAATGAGAGAATGACCCCTCACTATAGATACCATAGGATCCATTCCCTCATTCTTTACTAAGCATCAGTCAGCCAAAGTACCAAAAAGCATGGGACAGATGCCGCACCCTTGGGGGAGAGTTGTCTTAACATGGGGTGAGTGGTCGCATGCACATGGGGACCGATGCCACGCCCTTTCTTAAGAGCCGACAAAGGAACCAGCCCATCCGGTTTTTCGGTAGATACTCAGCCACTCAATTGAACATGTTGAAGAATATTTTGCGGAAAACCAAGGGCCACATGTTCGTTTTCTATCAATGCCCAGCTGCCTCCATGTTCACACTGGCAGGGCAGTTGTTGGGCACGGCATGGCACGACACAACGCACATGCAAAAACAGATGTAAACTGGGTACACATATTGTTTTTTGTTCTCCACCTGCTCTTTGGCATTCTTTGGGCATATTGCCTTAGCACTAATGCCTTTTCTAGTTTCATATATTCGACCCATCTCCTTCTCGGCATCGGGCGTCGCCGACCAATCAATTTTCGTCACCCACCAGGCCCCTTCCAGCTTGCTGCAGGAACGTCTCTGTGACTCGCCGACCCCCAAAAGACTCCCATCAGCGGCGCTGAACTCGCCACCCCAAGAGAGGTTGAAGAGCCCTAGTTCGACTATCCGGTAGCTTAGGGTCCTATAGGATCTAAAGGGTCACTAACGTTACCTCTCTTGGCCACTACAAGTACCACTCACTCTATACCTAACTCATTATACTAAGCACCTCCTTCCAAGCTTGGACGATGGGTTTCTTCTTCTCCATGTTCGTGGCATCCGGCTGCAAGACGTCCACCGTCTCCTCGGGCCTCGGTGGCGAGTGTGTTGCCACGGCGGATCGTCTCGTTCTTCCACCACGGCGCTGTTCGTTCATGTTCGTTCTTGGATGAAAAGGAATGCCTAGTGGGAAAAAACCTTAGCAAACACCGGGGTTTTCACACAACACACAGCAGTACATGATGGGGTTTTCACCATCCAGTGTTTTTTTTGGCCAGCTGGGTCAGCTACAAGTCATCGGGCCATGGTCATGTGAAGTCATGATGGTCCTCAGCAAGTCAAGACTGTTTCCAGCAACGCGTGGTCAGGAACCAACGGGCATCGGCAAACAGGATGCACATCAGTTGCCTTGTTCACTCTAGGGGCGCGGTGGACGAGGATGATGGTTTGTAGAGACCGCATCCAAACATAATGATGACTCTTTCACTGGCTGCCGCAATGACTTGGAACCCCCACGTCTAGAAATCAAGTGCCCAAGCTGCCGTTAGGCTAATACTAGGAGGGCCCCTGCCAGGATCACTTCGGCAAACCACCGCTGCGCAACACGCTCGCAGTCAGTCGAATGGTCAAGATACTGCTCCTCGCTGAGTGCCAATGCCTGAGTTGAGGTTGTTGTTTCTTCCAATGACCTACTCTCGAACCACAGCACCTTCAAATTGCATTCCAACACGTTGGACTGCCGACTCTTCACCCCGGATCCGAGTTTCTCGTGGACAGTCAAAGGACAGTCGGTGATGATGAGCCCCACATCGGTCATCGGTTGGGGAAACTGTGCAAGTCGCAACCCGTGGGGCGCTTCACATGCTCTGCTAATTCATGCTAATTCTGTTTTTGTTCCCCCAGCGGACCTTTTCGGGGCACGCAGGGGGGTAGCGTAGCGCTCATCGCAGGGGCGGTTCGTTATCTTTTCAGTGTCTCGGATGTTGGACACAGAGCCCATGAGGCATGGGGCAGTGAACGTGGCTTCCGGCCGCATGCGACAACCAATTCGACGAACACGGAACACCTGGACCCTGCGGCGAACGGAACAACCCCGCACCCGAAGAGACCTTGCTCGGAGAGTCAGACGCTCGGAGACGCTCGGAGGGTCAGACCAGTCTCCCTTTTTTTCTTTCTCGCTCTCCGGTCATGGTTTGAGGGACGACGGGGTGTCTGACTGCGGCCACGCTCGACTGGTCGAGTGTGGCGCCACTACAGCCATCAATCCTCTGACATCCCAGTGAGCCGCGGGCAGAACCGGTCGTGGTGGTTGTGCTGCACAGCTCACGTCCCCACATGTCCCCACACGTCCCGCGGTGGAAGGCCATCATTGACGCCAAACAGGTTGTACGTCTCATCACTTGTTGAACATGCAAATCCCCAACCACCTGATGTTTAAACACGGACCCCCCAAAATTTACACTCCGACTCACTAACATGGAAGTGGAAAACCTCCTGTTTGTAAGGAAAGTAGTCTCATGCATGGTTGTCGCTGCTCTGTCAGTGCCTGGCCTCGGGGGCTTTGTCTCTTTTTAGCTGTTCTTCTTTTTGCAAAACTGTTGATGAAGGACTCCTACAGAGTCCTACACGTACTATTTGCAGTAATTACACCACCTGGCACGCACACCGTGCGGTAAATAAACAGTGCAATACTTCTTTGACGTGAACCCTTTCCATGAAACCTATCTCCCTCTGTCTGTTGGCAAAGACTTGGCCTTCCTCAAACTTTGACGACCAAAGGCTGCTCAGCTCTTGCTGTACAGCGTCGTAAGAAATTTGACTCGGCCTATTGACTGCCAAGATCTGTGGTGCATGTCTCGCGCTGTCGCGGGCAGCATGAATTATAGTATTTTTTTGATATCGCCAATTTGTTTCAAGCCACTAGCCAGAAGCACCGAATCCTTCCAAATAAGTTGTTGTTCACTTAGTAGATGGAGAATGACAGTTGATTTGTATATCAATCTGCTTGTGATTGCTTGTGAGGCTCTTGCCTCTACGTTGCTGGTGATGTCTCCATGGCGTACAGTCTCACGGGGGGGTTCGGAAACCCCGTTCTTTCCAGCTTCTGGAAGTGGTTCAGAGGTACCTTGAGCCCAGCAATTTGTGCGGAGCACGGCCTACCCCGATTGCGACGGGGAAGCGCGATCCTCAAGGCACTCGTCCACGACGAGTAAGTCGATTCGCTTTAAGCATCGCTGGCGAAGCATTGGCGAGGCAATGCTCGGGCGGATTTGGTGAGGAAGTGGAACGATGATCAGCTGGGAAACCAAGCTGGATGATGGGTGCGTTAGTATGAATCAATTATTGAGGCATTCCCAGTATACGCTGAACTCACCTCGGAAAAGGAATAAACTCAAAATATTGAACTCAAAAGCATGTGGACAACTCTTCCTTTCACCTGTCAAGGACAGCCTGAAAGATGTGGCCATCAAATGATAGGCTATCCCGTAACCTGGATTCAATGATTATATATAGAGATATCCCCCGTGATTGTCCATAGGCGCGCTGATTTTGCATTTTATAAACTTTGTGGGTTTATAAAATGTGTGGGATAGGTTTTTTGGTTTATAAAACGAACAACCAATTAGTTTATAAAATGACCAGCACAAGTTGTGATAGGTTAAGATAGAAATTGACATCCAGGAAGAAACACTTTATAAAATGCGAATTGCTCATCGGAAATGTCCGTAAGAAGCCAAATCCGGATACTTTATAAAATGAAAATTCGTCATGTCTCAAGATTCTGATTTTTAGATTCTGAAAATTTATATTTTCAATAATGAAAGACAGGAATTAGACCAGCAAACTATCTAAAAATATTGATGTTTCACATTTTTTTTCAAAAAATCATAAATTTTAAGAAATGGCCCCAAACCTCTTCAAACCTCAAGGAAAGACAGGAACTGAAGGAATATATATGACCAGGAAAATAGCTAAGAATTAAAAATTAACTAGCTACGTTTTCTACACTTTTTCTCCTCTCCCCCTGTCTCTGTGTTTATTTCCTTTACGGGGGTGAGAGGAGAAAACGTGTAGAAAAAGTAGCTAGTTAACTTTTAATTCTTAGCTATTTTCCTGGTCATATTCCTTCAGTTCCTGTCTTTCCTTGAGGTTTGAAGAGGTTTTTAGGATTTTTAGAAAAAATGTGAAAAATCAATATTTATAGATAGTCCAGAACATGATCTTTATAAAAATGAGAAATCATGTTCTGACCATCCTCTGACAACTCGACAAGTGAATGTTTATAAAATGAGATTACGGGGTTCACCTGCCCTCTATTACTGTCATTCAGTGTCCAAGTTAGTAAAGGTTATAAAATGACGATACTCCAGATCTTATGTAGTTATCCTTAAAAATAAACACACACCCGCACCCTAATGTTTATAAAATGTGTCTTGGAATTTGCATTTTGTAGAGGAAAAGGATCTGCATTTTATAAGCCCACAATCACGGGGGATATAGAGATGTAGTATTGCACCTCCAGAAAATCCTCGTCGGACACGGGGTTGTTGTGTGCATGAGCTTCATGGGGGGATGGTACGTGCGCAGCGAAGCTAGGGCAGAATTTGATTGGCATCCAAGTCGTCTGAAGGGCCACCTAACAACCTCTGATATTAAGATGATGCGAGTCTTCCTTAAACATCTTTGATAGGAGAGGGTTCCTCCAAGACCCATCAAGATCATCATCTAAGACTTCTCAAACGCCAGCCTTCAGGAACGTGACGAAAGACCGACGTGGCCATTGCTCGCCCCAGAACTCCTAGCTTAAACTCTACCAGGACTGCTTTTTGGATACTGGACCCGATCAAACTTCACGTTGTATATATCCATATCTGAACTCTTCTCAATTCCCAAGTGGTGGTTTAGATTCGCGCTGGCCCCCCTCAAAAAAGATCCTGAGGATTGATTCAAAATGAGAACCTCGCCAAAACTTCTGGATCGCCCCCATCTTCACCCTCGCATCCTTCCCCATCTTCACTTCGCCAACTTCGCTCCAACTGAGAGATGACTTCGGCTCGGCCCTTCGGCCGTGCTCTCGGCGCCAACGACGGAGCCACACTCCGCTGGTCGGGCCCCTTGAAACACCATGGGCTGCAAAAGCCCGGGACCTTCCTGAGCTTCGATCCCGACATGTCTGGCCGATGGCCAGGTCACAGGTTTGTCCTGACGGGCCTGGGGGGCTTTCTCTTTTTTGAATCTTCCAACCCTCATGCAGTCATGCGCCATCATGCGCCCCATCTGGAAGGTGGCAGGAGCTGCTCTTATTCTGATGAATTCCACAGCACCAGCACCAATGCGACCAGTTAGCCCAAAGTTTGATCCCTGTGGTATTGGTGGAGACCGAACATTCAGGTTATCACAATAATATTCGGGATTGCCATGTTCATGTCCGGCGGCGCAACCAAGCAAATGTTCCAAAAAAAGATGCAAATTCAATGACCTGCTACCTCAACTCAAGCAGAAATGTCTGGTAGGGGATCACACTCACATGTCACGGGATGTGGAGGGTCTCTAAGGGTAGCGCCTTTTCGCCACACACCGCTTTTCGCCACGCGAATTTCGGTCGCATCGCCTGTCGCATGTCGGTCGACCATGTCTACCCGACAAGCTGGACCAGGTGGACAAACAAGCTTAACAAGAACATGTAGCTTGGTGACTTGGTGGTGACTTGGTGAGCTCAGCATATACGAGGTAGACCCATATGAGCTCAGCATATACGAGGTGAGCTCAGCATATACAGTTTAACGGAGTTCGCTGCATGTGTGGACCCATGTTTGTTACATTTTGAGGTTTAAACAAGTGTGGCAGTCTGTGAATGATGAACAAAGGCAGGCACACGCAAACGCAACGAAGACCTGAAGGTCTGAGTAAACAACTCGTCTGTACTAATCTGCTGATCTGTCATGCCTTGAAGATTCAGGAAGGTCTGATCCAGTCAAACACACCTCCTATGAGGGAGATGTTTGACAAGAGATGCTGATCATCTTGGATTTGTTGAGATCATACCATTCAGACATACCATATGATATAGCCATTGACCATTCAGATTATATGGTATGTCTTGGATTTGTTGACATCGAATGTTGGCCAACCCATTCAGACATACCATATGATGGCCTTCATCATGTCCCAAATCACGTCCGACTACGAGCGGGTATTCAGGTGCCTTTTTCATACGGGAACCCTGCAATCCTTATGTTTCATACTTATAGACCCCCCCAAAACCATGTACAACCCCTTTCAAGAGGCATTGGAAAGCCGTTTTCTATCTATTTTGCGGGACCACGCTTTCCAATGGAATTTGATACCTCCAACATATCCCAAGTAGTGCAAACAGCTTGCCCGATCCTCGACCTCAAAGGGTATCGGATGCGCGCAAGCGCTAAAGCGCTTGGGCGACTGAAGCAGTCGCCCCAGCTTGGCGGCGACTCGTCACATCATGGTCGAGATGTCCAAAAAGGTAAGTCTCTCTCTCTCTCTCTGTCTGGGTACCTCTGTCCACGGACATGCGTTTTTCTGGTTGGCTTTGTGCCTTCATGGACTTTAGGTAAACCCCCGCCTTAGGAACAAGTACTTAGTGGACGGCCCATGTGTTTTTTCTGGTTGCCTTTGTGGCGC